AGGGATACAAACTGGAAGGTATTTGTATCAGCACCAGAAATGTATGAAGTTTGAAATGCTATAATCAATAAATCCCAGAGGGTAAAGATTGAATCTTTACCCTCTCCCACATACATGTAAGTTATATCCTCACCCTACCTTGGAAATGAGTGTGTCACTGTGACCTACCTTATGGGTAGACCCTCCCCCCAATTTAAAGTTTATATAAACAGGAATGAGAATCTATGTAAGCTAAAAATTATCATCCACAAAATCAATCCACAAAATAGGCACACACAGTTTTAGCATCCAAGAAAATTTCAACGCAAAATCAGGTCACTGGCATAATATAATTTTCAAATTCTTTTGCACATGCAATAGCTCATATATTTCCATGGTGGAATCTAGGAATTAGTAAGAAATATGATGGGAAAGCTTGATTTTACATTTACCAGAATATGACACAGTGGCCATGCGGAGTAAATAAACTCTGCTAATGCTCTAATAGCAGTAATAAAGTACCCAATCAAGGCACACTTTCAACAATTGGTTTCAAAACAGTATGCATGTAAGCACCCATTGTGTTTGTCAAAAATGAGTAATTAGACCAGGTACACTCGCTCTATCATACATACAAGATATTCATACTAGCACCAAAAGTGCACGTCAAGATTAATTGTAATTTCTTCAACTTAATCATTTATAATCAAACCCTTACCCCCCCCCCCCCCCCCCCCCCCCCCAAGAACTCTGGCCATAAACAAGTGAATTTACATTAAATTGCTGCACAACAAATGTGTACATCAAACATTTGATAATGAATATATAAATGTAATTTTCAATGAAACAGATTAAAAAATACCTAAAATATGAAAAGTATATGAGAGAAAGGGCTAACACACCATTATAAGGCTCGACAAAAATAAAATTTACATCGACTCTTAAAAAAATATATGTAACATTCAATAATGACAATTTGCAATATTATGTCCATTCTTGTAAATCTTAAACCATATCCTTCCTTGTGATATCTTCTACTGAGAGTCAACAATGTTCGAGTCAGACAATCCACCTTTCTTCCCTCCACTACAAAAGATCCATGCAATCATAATAAATGCCACCTTAAAAAATTATGTGGTTGTGAAACACTGTTGCCCCTATATGACAGCTAGCTTATGGCTAAGTTTTTTATATGGTCAAAATAGCTTTAACACAAACCATTCCAAAAGCATGACAAAGGGTAAAGTTTTTGTAGACAACGATAAACAAACAGACAGACCAGAATACTATATGTATGTCCCCAAACTCCTATCAAGGGGGCATAAAAATCATTTTAAACTTAAGTTTCGTGACCAAAATTTTTTGTTAATGAAGAAATTTACACCAAAATACTATATATATGTCCCCTAACTCCTATCAAGGGGGCATAAAAATCATATTCAACTTAAGCTTCATGACCAAAATGTTTTTGTTAATGAAGAAATTTAGATGGCAAATACATGACATGTCAATGGCAGTCTTTTACCTGTGTTGCAATGAATCTTTCATCAACTTGATGCTCATAATTTCAGTGCTTCTAGATCTGTTTACACTGGTGCCACATCTGAAAGAAAAAGATTAAATGGTTACTGCTTGCAAATGCTAATGACTATTTCCTGTTAAGTTCAGTGTTTTGCTTAATCAATGCATGGTTTTTATCAAGAACAAAACGTTTTAATGGTCACCTGAGTATAATACAACCCTAAGAAGAGATTTTCAAATAATGGATTTTTACTACATAAGTTAAATTAATAGAGCCCCTACTTTAACACCAAAACCCTTGATGCAAGAACTAGGAATTTCAGTTTGGAAGAGGCACCCTTGCTCAATAGTTATGCACTAAGTCTATCTGCTAAATACCTAGGAACAGAGAAGATATTATATATTCAAAGAAAAAAAGCATTTTCACTATATAATCAATAAAGTTCTGCTCTGGTACCAGAACCCCTCACCCATGAAATTCACAATATCCAAAACTCCTTACCCATGCAGGAATTTCACAATTTTTGAAAAGGTACCCATTTTTATTATAACCATACATTTAGTTTGCCTCATACCTAAGAGCAAAGAAGATTTTCAAAGAAATAATGCATTTCTTACTGCACAATCAATAGAGCATGCGCCCTGCCCTAATACCTGAACCCCTCACCCTGATGTCATAAAATTTACAATTTTTGGAAGACACATCTTTGCTCATCATAACCATGCACTTTGGTCAGCTAATTATACATTGAGAGACAAAACATTTTAAAGAATTTATGCACTTTCACTTAATGATCAATAGAGGCCTCCCCTAACTCCAAAACCCTTGACCCTGACCCAATGAGGTCATGAATGTCACTCTTGGGAATTTCATGCATAAGGAAGATAATTAAAATACACTGTATAAAAAAACTGCAACATTTGACCAATCCTAGATATCAAAAATTTTGAGTAGGCCTGACTAGCTGCTCATTATATCATGCAATGGATATTTTCTAATACTTAACCAATTTACCCTCCCCCTTTTTCCTCCAAACCCTAAGCCTAGAGGGAAAGAATTTCACAATTTAGTAAAGAGCTCATTGCTAATACATGTATGACCAACAGTTTGACTGCTTGACGTTCATAAGTAAAGATTTTTGAAAATTGCATCAACTTTAATAGATTTGGTGACAGGCTCTTCAGACCCATTAAGGTAGGCAGTGACTATTAAAGGTGCTTGGACAAAGATTTGAAGTTAATATTTTCTCAAATTTTCGGTATAATATCATGACTTATATGTTTTTATAGCATTTCACATGGAAATAAAATTAAAAAAACTTATTTTATCTGGAAATTATTGAAACTACAAATTTCGGGATACGTTTCATTAACACATCTATGCACCTTAACAAAGTTAAAACTTTACCCTTAATACTTCAGAAAGTAGAAATTTTGTTGTGCATCAATGAAAAATATTAAACTATAATCCAGAAAATAAAGAGTAGAAATGTGAGAAAGCAAAACCAACTCACCAGTAATGTCAGTCCGTGCTCAGTGATGTGTGCAGAGTTTAACAAATTGAACACACCCTGAAACGTAAACTGTTTTTGTAAACAGGGCACAATTTTTAAATTTTAAACATTAATTTTAAACATTAAACTAAAATTAATATTACCATTCCATGCAAGATTAAATTAAAATGATTAGGGAAACTCCTCTTCACTGCTGGATAGGGGCAGCTCCAACTTCACCTTTTGCTAAAACAGAAAACAAAAGGTAAAAAAAAACTTTTCGAATGGATAGGGCTTAATATAAGTTGAGAGAGTCTGGTCAACAGGGAGGAAACACGTACTATATCTTACCTTCATGTGTAGGGGTGGCTGCAGTTTAAGTCTTCCAAATGGAACTCCTTCTGTCTAACAGATTCTCCAAAAACTGGGGAGTTTGTATCTTAGCCTTACTTCTAACTGAGGCCAGTCAATTCTATTGACACTCTGATTGAAGCATTACCATGTCTTTTTTAACATGAGGACAAGGCCAGCCAATTTTCTGCCTGCTAATCAGATTGTTAAGGGGATTAACACAAGCACCCAGGCTTGATCAAATGAAAGAAAAAGTGAGCAAGCTCACATACCCCACGCTCCCCCAAAACTTGACAATGCAACATGTAATGAATGACACAGCGCATTTTAAATACCAGTACACAGTATAATTCAAAAAGGGGCATTACTTGCAAAAAATCATCACATCAAAACTTCTTGCATATAAGGACATTTAAATCTTTGTATGTTACAATTTTAATTGGGCTGAAATTTGTAGATAAATAATGGAATCAAAATTTCTTGGTAATATATAAATCTATACATTATGTCTAAATGCCTACAAAGTTTCAGGAAATTCAGTGCAGGAGTTATGTTGACAAACTGTTATTTAAATTCCTCAGTGATTTCGATTTGTTACTGAGTGTAAGTCCATGCATGTCCAACACATGACAATTTACACATTTAACGTAGGTCGCGGGGTTAATGAACTTTTAAAATTGCTCGAAAACATACCATGAAAATTACATATCCCTAATGTAGATTTTCCGTAAGATCCGTGGAATTCCATAACAAATTCCGTGGAATTCCATGGAAAAAGTGTTCCATGGAATTCCGAGGAATTCTCGAGAGTATTGGGACGCAACTTTTTCGGAATGGTATGGAATTTCAAATCTAGCCTGGAAAAGAGCGGAACAATGCCAGAATAGAAATTTGCGGAAATAGCTGGAAATCCATGGAATTCCACGATATTTGGAAATCTATGGAATTCCACGGAAATCCAAGGAATTCCAGGAAAATACAAAAACTGGAATAATCAAAATAATTTAAGGGCCAAATAATTACAAAAAAAAATGACTACATCACAATTTTTCATAAATCAAATCTATATTTTCAAAATAAAAAATCATTTTTGCTTTACAATGTGTTTGGGGACAAATATTGCATACACACTTCTATGGATAATGAAAGCACAGATTTTAAAAAGTATTATCAATGAAAGTATTTTACATCAAAGGTTATTTAAACAATGTTAAAAATCCACAGAAAAATATCATTACTGGATGATCACCTTGGTTTAATTAATGAGAATTATTATAATATAGTTGCATGTACATGTAGTAAATTACAGTCTGCATGAGAAACAAATGACTTATGATAAAAGAAAATCCTTTGTACCTAGAGTAATCTCAAACATATGACATTTTTTGATAATAAAACAAAATAGATTAAAAAAAAAACACTAATTATGACCTTTTGCTTCATTGAATGACCTTGGGAAAGGTCACTAAAAGCCTTAACAGGGTATATTTGCAACATTTGTATACAGTACAATGATCTTCCAGTGGTCCATATACATTTACCATACAAAGTTAAAGACTAGAGTGACAAACATATGTATTAAGTACACAAATATCTACTACACAACTATATTTGAAAGATCCCATAAAATCAACACATGCTATTTTTTTCCACCAACATGCCCCAAGATCCTAATTATTGAAGGTCCTAAACTTCTGAAGTATTGGCTAGAATCACTTCCTCACTGGTTCTGCTAGAGGGTGGTCAGATAATTGGTGTCACGAATGGATTCACTTTTGGTACGACGGCTTCAAAAGCTCAGCAAGTTTGATGTTGATCATTCCCAAAGACACTTCAAACTTTTCTTGCTCAATTTCTGAAAGAAAAGATTAACATAAAGATGTATGATATTTATCTCATATATAAATATATGACAAATAATAAACTAAAGCTATATAAGACAATTGGTTCTTTCAACCTGGCAGATCAGTTTAATACTGTAGAATAGGAATTTATTATCTTGTAATTTTTTGTTCAGATTAGGATTGATTTCTTTTTAAACTAATGGAAGTTGTGAAATTAAAAAAAAAATAAAGAGACATGATTGTGTCTAAGTTAATTAACCTTGAATATGAGAGAGAACATTGTAAATTACATAAACTATGTACCCTTAAAAACATTCAGCAAATAAAGTTAAGGTATGAAAAAAAGTACATTAGTAAATATAATTTATATACCATATAAAACATTCAGTTTTGCCTTGTCAATGGCTCGTCTTTTGTCTCTTAAGCTTCTGATTAAAAGCACCTTGAACAGGAGTTTGGACGCCTATGCTGCCTTTGATATATTATCCTCCATATCAGCTTACTCCGTTAACTGACCCTTGAAAAGGGGAAAAGACAAATTTATAGGCATATGTAATTGCTTTAAATGCACATTGGTTAATTTACAATGTAACAAAAATATAGACAAAGCAAATAACATAAAGTGAATATATAGAATACATTTGTTCTAGGCTTCAAACATGTAAATACATGTACATATATTTTATTTTTGAAAAATTAAGAAAATATTAAATAAACTGTTATAAATACATGTAACTTCCATGCATCAAAAATTCAGTATTGAGTAAGATAATATATTAGTACATGTATACATGTACTTCTTTATTTCTGGAAATTTATATCTGCGACTAAGGTTATAGGTTTGTGTAAGAATATGATGAATGACATTGACAAGGCGTAGGTAAAAACTTGTGAACAAGACAGAGAACTGACATAGGAAACAAGTTAAAAGCAACAACTTCTTAAAATAACTAAAATATATTTGAAAGAGTGGAGTCTAACGTTCATAATAATTTTTCTCAATGCCTGGCTAACATTGATAAACACATAATTTCAATTCTTTTGATTTTATTGATTAGGAAAATGATTGAAAAATCCTACCTTTGTGTAAATTTCCATACAGCTCTCTCGTTCTTGTCCTTTTTGTGAGCATTCCTGTAAATAATGCATGCATGATTTTATGTCATAGAGTATAGTCATTTTTAATATTCATACTTAAATAAAATGTAAAATGATTATGCATGTAGGCATTTAGCATGTTTAGATTACCTGTCAAAAGTTATAATTGTTATGCATTATTAAGGAATTAAGAATATAAACCTCTTGTTACTTGCTCAATAAAAAAAATCTTATGCTATAAAACATTAATTAATAAAAACAATGTTAGTTTATTTGTGCTGAATGATAATTTGAGCAGGCTCTCACCATTCTCACAAGCTAGGTGACTGAATGACTTAGCATCTACATCTACATATTAGGACATTTCATCAAACTTGATGATTATATGCCGGCGCTGTGCAAATCGAGTACTTCAGCTATAAAATAATAAAAGTAAGTGCTGTGAATGATCATGAACATGCATAGATATAAAAATTGATATAGATATAATTATTTACATTGTACTCCATAAATGTAAGTAGTAAATGTACTAAGGAATGTTATTAGCTGATAATTTGGACCAGAGTTCTGAACTGGCCCCAAAGAGGCTGCCGACACCACTGAGCATGGAAGAGAAATAAATTTCCATAATGGGGGGGGGGGGGGGGGGGGGGGGGAACCTATATTTAAATTATCTGTGCAAGTACTAAAGGTCTGAAAGTAAGGAAGACTTGAAATGCCTTTGTTGGTGGTAGTCTGTGAAACTAAATAGAGGCTTGGGTCTACCGCAACTAAGTTGTGCACAACTTTATATCATATAGACAGCTGATAGAGCATTATTAGTCTACCATCGTCTACACGTTTTTTCTGCGTTGTAAACATGGTAAAGATAGCCAATTTAGATGTTGCATGTTGCAACATATTGGAGACACTAATAGTGTTATGATGTCTGTGTACGATGTAACATGGACTGTCGTGGCGCAATTGGCAACGTGCCACTAGCATATATAGCGAGGTCTAAGGACATGTACGAACGGAGGAAATTCGGGTTGAAATCCACACATTGTTCAAACATATTTTGATAAGAGATGTTTAGAGTTGTACAATAATTATTAAAGAAATGAAACTGCGCTCGCCCTGATGGTTTCATCGTTGGGCATTCTATGTGTGTGGTGCCCAGACTGAGGATCAGTCAATTATCCATTCAACTTCAAAGACACATAAAATACTGTACATTGTACCTACCGGGTCTTAAAATGTCTGCATCTTTTGTCAAAATACAAATTCCATTCCAAGCTAATAATGACAGCAGTTCCCTTCTTCGTGACACTCTCTTTCCTTCTGTCCAACAATACAACATGGCAGCCGAATTGTTGAATTTTGGCGGGCTGTAGTTTAAATTAATTGTTCATCGAGCCCGACATCGATCCCGATGTAATTGTACTATGAGCCGACAGTTTAAGAAAAAATTCTAAGTTATTTTCCACAGCTTTCCAGAGCAGAAAATGTCTAAGTTTCTCATTTTATCAGCTTTTCCATAGAATTCCACAACTTTCCAAACCTCAAAATGTCTAAGTCCAAATTTGTTATTCAAATTCCAAAAGATTCCAAAAACTTCCAAAAACACTTTTAGACTCTTGTATGGAAATGTTTGGAATTCCATGGAATTCCAAAACTTTTCCAAACCCTTTGGAAAATCTACATTAGGGATATGAATCTCCTACTTTTGTTGTACATTCTCTGAAAATTTTATAAAATTCGTCTGCATCGTTTTTGCGTTATTAAATCCCAAACATGTCATCGTTGTCGAAACATTTTTGACATTATTCTATTGAATTCTATAGGGAAAACGTCATTTTTGACTCTTTCTCAGGAAAGTTTTCTTTTTCAAAAAATCTCAGTAACTTTTGAATGGTGCAGACGAAATTGTTTCCCTTTTGGTCATTTCACACAGAGATGATTTCAGATAAATCTATATATATTTCATGTAAAATTTGTATTTAAAATAAGCACAGATGTATGAGTTATGTAAAAATTATCTTGTCTGAAACACCTTGTTTAAGCTACATGTAACTAGGAGAGAGAGAGAGAGAGAGAGAGAGAGAGAAGGCTGGGGGGGGGACTTGCAGAAGCAGTACTCCTAGCATGATTCAGAGACTTTTCTTACAAGAATGGGGAGCGAATATTAATTAAGAGAATAAAATTAGGGAAAAAAGTTCAAAAATTTCTGACAAGTACGAAAATGGGTAATCGCCAAAACGTTAGGGAAGAGAAATGGTGAGTGGTTAGGTACAACTATTATTCAGGAGCAAATCTGGTAGGGGATGAGTATAGTAAATAATCTTTTTTCAACAAATACATTCTCTGTCAAGTTGAAATGATACATGTTATATATGTCCAATATTCTCCTAAATCGAAGACTAATTTTTGTTTTATTTTGCTTGATATAAATTCTAAATAAATAATCTTCACGAGCAAATGCTGAAGTGGTAACAAATAGACTTGTTCTTAATTTGGCCAAATAAAAAAATATGTGTGGTTCCGGTTACCCGACCTTCCCTATTTTTTACCCCCGACCCTAAACTTTTTTTGGCAATTTTCGTATTTTTTCCGGAATTTCCCAAATTTCTATCAATGGCTCCGGTTTAAGTTTTAGTTTCAGCAATGACGGCCTCCTTGCACAACATAGTGCAAGTGTTTAATAATGTTAAATCCAAAGAAAGCTGGCATGTAGGTGTCCCCCTACCAATATTGATTAGTATATTATCACGTCACATCTAAATTTCATTTGCAAAGCAGTGATAGGTATTATTTAGAAAAATTAAGAAAATCATTTTGTTAACAAACAAAAAAAAAAAAAAAAAAATCCCTACCTACCTACCCTAACTTTTTTGGAGGTGTAACCGGAACCACACATATTTTTTTGTTTGGCCTTTTCTTAATTCAATACTGATCAACGAAGTTTGGACCCCCAATACACTTGTATTCTAGATGTAATTTGCTTCCGATGCCTGTGATACGTATATCAAGTGCTTTCAAATGACCAATATACGTAATTCAGTAAGGGGGGGGGGGGTGCTAAAAAAAACCTAATAAGCTGTCCAAATCCTGGATTTGCCAGGCTCGATATAACAGCAACAAATAGTGTGTGTGGGGGGGGGGGGGGGGCAACCAGCATGCATCTATAGGAAAAATTACTGTAGCAAAATACTATACTCAGAAAAAAGTGCCCCCCCCCCCACGTTTTACGGGCCTGAAGCAGACATTCTTGTGGGGGCACAACCGCAAATTAGCTCTGTTTTCTAATATGTATCATATTTTCATGTACTGGCAATATTATTGAGGAGAACAACAATTGTAAATTAGCTCGATTTTCTAAAGTAATTTATATACATTGAAAAAATTATGGGGGCATGCCCCTCCTCAGATTCCTACCGAATTAATATCCCTTTTTTCTTTAGCACGAATTTCTCATAAGTCTGCCAGAGATCTTTTTTTAATCAGGCGAAATAATTTCCTATGTGAGCAGTTTTTCAATTGTGATATAGATATACATGTATTTTTAAAATTTCCTTTTTGAAAATAAAGTTTAAACTTTTGATATAGCAGTTGTAACTGCGATTGTTTATATAATGACGGTTTATCAGTGTAACAAACTTTTTATCAAAATACGTCAAAGGAAAAAAAATAATCATGCAGTTGACACTTGTTTAGTTGCTCCGTATCTTTTCATGATACTGTTGTGGTCTCAATGTGATGATAAATAAACGCTTTCTAACGCTTTCAATTTTCGAACATTAAAAAATCGTTAAAATTATCAATCTGTGATAACTTCAGTTTGTTGTATGGAAGTATTGAAGAGTTTTAAAAAAAATGTCTTACTCATTGTGACGTCATAATCAAATGTGCACAAGAAAGTCGCCCAAATCATATAAATTGCATACTCAGTTTTAACGACGTCAGCAAACCCACGACCTACGTTAAATAATTGATGGAAACAAAATTATGATGTAGTCATATGAATTTGTTTATATACTGTACTTATGAAATTATTTAAGGCAAAGCACCAATTTGAAGGGGGAAGGGGGGTGGGGGTGGGGGGTGAGAACTATCCAAGATTTTGTGTGTGTGTTAAATCATTAATATTTTGATCTCAAAATCAATAGGGGTCTTTTAAGGTCATAAAATATTTCACATAAAATTTCATTACAAAAGCAGATTCCAGTTGATTTCATTACTTAGCTGGAAAGTTTCTTCAATAATAGGCAAAACTCTCAAGGCAAAAATAATGGAATCGGAATTTCCTGGTAATATGCATATCTACACACTGTGTACTAAATATCTGCAAAGTTTAACCAAATTCTGTGTAGCTGTTTAAGAGGAGTTGCACTAACAAACTGTTCATCTCTATATTCAAGATATGGCCAAAAATCTAAGTTGAAAAATGCCCAAAATCCCAGAAAAATAATGGAATCAGAATTTCCTGGTAATATGCACATCTACACATTGTGTACTAAATATCTGCAAAGTTTGACAAAATTCTGTGCAGCAGTTTAAGAGGAGTTATGCTGACAAACTGTTCATCTCTATATTCAAGATATGACCAAAAATCTAAGTTGAAAAGTGCCGAAATTCCCAGAAAAATAACGGAATCAGAATTTCCTGTTAATATGCACATCTACACATTGTTTCCTAAATATCTGCAAAGTTTGACGAAATTCTGTGCAGTGGTTTATGAGTAGTTACACTGACAAAAAAAACAGGACTGACGGACTGACTGACACACTGACTGACTGACAAAAGGGTCAAAAACATTATACCTCACGCAACTTGTTGCGTGGGGTATAATAAAATGGAGATATGTGAAGTCTTAAGAGTGAAAGAGTAGAATTTGTGTCTTACCCTCAGTTTAGATTTGGTTGTAGTCAATCAGTAGTCTAAGACTTCCACTAACATAAGTTTCTGCTCCTAAACATGGGATTGAATTTGGAAAAATTAACTTCAAAAAAAGGACAAAGTCTTCAAGTGAAAAAGAATAAAGAAATCTTTTAGAGAGAAAATTGTAGATCTTGGACCTTACCCTACCTTTCAGATTGAACCAGGGTTGATCAATTAGCCTTTGAAATCTTCCTCTAATGTATGATCTGTCTTTTAGCATAAGGTGTAGGTGTGCAGAACCCTCTGCCTGTTAACAGAGAATGTAAAGATGTTAATTTTTAAAGGGAAAAAGACTCTAATCAATGAAACAGTGACGTAAATCGATTGAGTGCACGGGGTGGATCTATTACCTTATTGGTACTTACAGACCACAATCAATCCCTGGTCTGGGGGAAGGGGTTTCTGTCCACAAGTACCTGTGATGAATTATACTAGAATTTATTCAGACTGATAGAATTTGCTTCGGAGTGGTAGACCACATTAAGTCATCAGTCATCAGTCCAAATGACTGATAGGAATACTATGTTTTTCATAATCTCTGGTGGACCATACAATTTGAAACCACGTCAAACTGTGCTAAAACCATGGCTATTCATAATGGCCTGTATATGAGATAAGAAAACTGAAATGAAATGTTTTTGTGAATTAGTGAATTGTCAAAAAAATGTTTTTGTCTTTGTATTAAATACTTTAAAAAACAATTCTTACCACAAATCAAGACTATTCTTGGTATGAATTATCTTATTACTTTTATCAAGAACAATAGTGATATGAATTAACTAATTATGAAGAAATCAACCATGACTGAACAACAAAACCTGCTTAAACTTCACTGAACAACATGCAATAAACTGAATTTGATCACATATTTTGTAAGTTTTTCTTTGGGAAAACTTCCACTTCATTTTGGGAAAATATAGGCATATTTGCAAATGGGATGGGGGCTGAATTTTGGTCCAAAATCGACCTTAAAAAGGCCAGTGAAGGGTATTGCTGATATCATGCAGTGTAATGGCCTTGACTCAAGTACAAGATCACTAAGGATGTTTTGACTGGATGAAAGGTCTGAAAGAACATGTGTGAACTTGTCAAGTCGGTAACACACAGATGGGGTTTGCTCATAACCAAAATGTGTCATGGCTTGACGGTCATTTGGACAGTTCAAGGTCACCGACAGAGAAACTGTACTGTACATTCCTATACTGTCCTTCTATTGGCGAAACATTGAAAGTTGATACCCCTTACAAGATTGCTTATAACCTTAGAATGCCAATGTCACTTCTTCCTGTTGGCAGCGCCAACGGAAGACCTACTCGTTGCTTTGCAGCGAGCTCTGCTCTAGTTAAATATAAATAGCTACTTCGACGTTTTCATTTTATTGCATGATTAGTCTAAGTGCTTTTGAAAAGTAATTTAAGTGATCGGATGATGATAATAAATATATATATGTAAACAAATATTCATAAACCAGGGATTATGTTGGACAGTGATCAGAAATGGCGGCGGGAATGTTCGAGTAATCGCCGTATTATGTTTTCAACAAAAAAAGTTGTTTAGAGTCGTAAATCGATTATTACAACATTGATAAACTTACCTCAGTTGAAAGTAGTCTTCTTCTGTATCTGTTGTAATATATGGAAGCTTTGATAGAGCGCAATGAAGGCTTTTGCAGAAGCAAATGCAAATCACTTGTAGGCCTATTGACAGTTAGACTCTCAAATCTCAGTGTGGCGAATTTATAGGCCCAGCTCACGT